GCTGTTTGTGTATGCTTGAATGGCATTTAAGGTTGAAGTTATTATACTTCATTTAGATTTCTTTCTAACTACAATGAAGGACACTCTGCTATAGAACTTAAATCTTACACTTCTGAGGCAGAAAACTGACCATAACCAGGGTACCAATGAATATTTCACAAATTTACACAAAACACTTCAACAAGAAGGAAACATAAAAAAAAAAAAAAAAAAAAAGAATTTAAGGTAACATCTTATGTCTTTCCCCACTGTAGCTCTTTGAAGGTTTTAAGTTTAACACATAGTAATTGTTAAACAGTTTGAAGTGAATAAAAGACAACTTTTTTTTTCTGTAAGTCAAACAAGGTATTACAATGACTATCAGTTTTGAACTACCAAATTTTTAAACAATTCTGCAACAAAATTATTATCAGTTTCACATAAACCACAGTTACTCACAGAGTGATTAAAAGGGACAAAACTGTTGAAGTCTTTGTTCACTTACCAACTCCAAGTTTTTATATAATAGATCTGTTTACACATTATTTTCGCAACCTGTGTTGTGTCAAATAAAAATGGCACCCTTCCTCATATATTTAATCCAGTCTGAAAGAGCTATCAAAACAGAGAAACACCACACAGGATCAGGTTCCATGGCCACTAATAACAGTATGGTGCTAAATACAGACATACTTGTTACATATGGCATCCTGGTATATAATGCTAATGACTTCTTACTAGCTTTAGGTAAATTATTTACTGGTCTTTCATTTGCAGAACTTCACAAGGCAGTAACCCCAAGTTTCTGTGGCTTCAATGAGTAATGAAAACTTCTACAATGTGAAAGATTTGGATGAACTGAAATTCGTATGAAGTGATCTCCTAGGTATTGCTATACCATGTCAGCACCTAACACTTCACTTGAAAAAATCAAATATTTGGTGTTTCTTGATTTCTTTGAGAAATTCAAAGTTTCAGAAACCAGCATGGACAATACCAGCAGGTAAGATGTTTGTGGGTACGACCTGCTTGGCAAATTTTGGTCTTTTTGCCTCTGCATAATTTATTGTACTTGGATTGTAATTTCAAAATATGAGAACTTTTTTTTTGCTCAGCAACAACCTGGAAAGGGAGGGAAAGAGATATGATAGTTTGCCAATCCATGAAAGTATTCATAGTAGTAAGAATGAGAGAAGTGGCATAAATGAAGGCAGAAAGACCTTAAGAGACAGAGTGAATGGTCAGTAAAACGACTGATAAAAATCAGATCAATTATATACATAGGCAAAAAAGAACCCTGGCTTCAAATATAAGCAGGTGGGTTCTGAGCCGAAAGTTGTCACTCAGGAGCAAGATCTCATTTCCATAAAAGTATCAACTCAATGCACTGTACCATCTTCAAGCTACCAAGTTCAGGTTTTACCATATCCAATCCTTGAGTCCTACTAGATATGGTGAAAACCACTGGCTTACATAGAAAAGCCTAACGGCTTTCTATTCTATTACTCACTGTCAATGAAACAAATTAATTTACCAAATTTGACATGACTCAGCCTAACAAACACATTCAAGTATTACAACTGGTACAGCAACAAAATGAGATTCAACCTTTTATTCTTATTCTTAATGTTCTACTTTAACTCTGCCAGCAGTTCGTTTATGCACCACTTTGGGGGCTGAGGCTGCACTTCAGTGCACTTCAGTGTGCCACTTCAGCTCCCACTGAATTAACCCTAATGAGATTGCTCAGCTTCCAGAGCATGCTATGCTCTGTGAAGAAAGGGCCCAGATTAAACAGAATACTGCTTCTTTTTTACCTCCTCCATGAATCAAAAGAACACAGGTTAAAAAGTCTAACTTTAAATATGAAGGAGTTTTAAGGGGGTTTTCCGTGAGGGGACAGTAGTTAAAAATGTCACAGACAATAAGGAAATGAGATGGTGGTGCAAAAAGATATTTACTTCTTTCAAAAGAGAAATAGCTCCAAGTACTGAAAATTCTTAGCAGAACTCTTAGCAAAATAAACTACTTCAAAGTGAAGGTGAAAAAAATAGCACACAGCAACAAAATTGACATTGGGCAGCAATTTCCAGTTGTGTCTTTTTAAAAGAGCTGCCTTATCTATTTGGGCAAAAAGAAATAAACAGCATGAAAAAATCCTTTCCATCTATACTGTAGCTAACATTGTGCCCTATTGATGCACACAACCGATTAATCATGTATTCCACTCCTTCCTCAGGAAAGATTCAAGATTTGTTTGAACTGCTATGTGCAAAGTTTACCCAGCCTATTTGGCTCATTTTGTAATTAATTGCTGCCATCACAATTGCAGCAGCCGTGCTGGAGCATGTAGCAGATCTAGACCAGAAAGGTCTTTGTACCATCAGCAAACTAAGCACTGTTTTTAACTCTCCAAATTTTCCAGTCCTGATGAACACAACTGCATAGAGTCACAGCTTGGTTTGCTTAGATATCTGATAGTATGGATACCAGAAAGGGATCTGGCTAACACCCAAGTTTTTGGCAGCAATAACAAGCACTGACTTGTGCCGTTCAATGCAGCTTGTTCCCAAAAACTCTGCAACCTCACAATTTGTAAAACCACATATGTACTTTTATACTGAGCTTTATTAGGTGTGCAGCCAACCTAGAGCAAAGCCTTGATCACCTAGCTTTTGTGCAGCTCTGCTACAGACTCTTCTGGAAGGTGCCAGACAGGATTGTGTTGTTGGAGAAATGACACACTAGAAGTCATCACAGATTTTAACTGAATCACAGGGTTTTTCCCTTATTCAGGAGAATTTAAAGATTGTCCATGACAGCACTGATGTAACAGGAACAAAGTTTATAGGGAAAAAGCAGATTTCTGATAAGGTTATGGCTGATTGATTGATTGATTATTGGCCTAATTTCAATAAATGCCTTTTTTTATATATATATAAAATTTTTGGAAACAACTTTAAAGTCTGCTCCAGTTTCAAAACTTTGAAGTAGAGGTTGAGACATCTATCTAAAACATTACAAGACCGTGGTGTAAGGTAATACCATACAACTAATTTCAAGTGCAAGTGAAATCCCAGCACCTTATCTGGGGCTGTTCCCGTGCTTGGGAGACTTCCAGTCCTGTAACTGGTGGGGTTTCGATGCAGTTACAAATGTGAATGTCAGTAACACTGGTTTTAAAATGTGGTCATGAATTTTGCAAGAACTAGTGCCATTTGGGGAGGGTTATTTTTTTGTTTGTTTGTAGGGGGTTTGTTTGTTTGTGTGTGTGGGGTTTTTTTGTTGTTTTGTTTTGTTTTGTTTTGTTTTATTCAACAAAAGGGTTTGGTTTTCTTAAAGCAAACCTGCAAGGGGAGCGTGGGAGTAGCTTTTGTTCCCGCGACATGGATTTTCGCAGAGGTCCGTTCAGGGAAACCTCGGGAAACACCAGTGTGTCCCACGCAGCCCCGGTGCCAGCCGTTGCCAGCCTGCCTGTGCCTGCCGGTGGATCCTGAGGGAGGCACGGAGGGGCTCGGCCTGCCCGCCGGGGATGGAGCCCGGCCGCCAGGCCCCGCTCGGCGCCCGGCCGACAGCGGGCACCGCTGCCTCCGGCTCCAGCCCCTCCGCTCCCCGGCCCCGCGGCCCGAGCCCATGCCCGGCCCGGCGGAGGGGGCTGGCGGGGGGCCTGGGCAGGGGGACCCCCCGCCGGAGCACAGCGCTGGCGGCGCCCCTTCCCCACCCCAGCGGCCCCGCAGGTGCGTCTGGGCCGCGGCTCGGCCGGGCGGGTGAGGCGAGCGGGGCGTGCGGGCCCTGCCGGCGGGGACGCCCGGGGGTCCCGCTGCCCTGCCCGGCGTGGGTCTCGCCCCTGCCTGGCATGGGCGAGAGGGGTGCCCGGAGCCCCAGGCAGCGCCCTCTGTCCTGCAGCGCCCTGAGGGGGCCGCGGGCGGAGCGGCCCGGCCGGGTCCTGGAACCGCCGTCCCGGCCCAGCGAAGGCAATCTCGGAACGGTTTTGCCTGTTTATACAAAGAAGTAGCTTCCTCCCCCGCCTCTCCCCCCCCTTTTCTTTTTTTAACTGCTGTATGTCTGTCCTGTGAGTGGACTTGAGCTGTTTTTCCTAAGTTAAGCGGAGCTGGGGAATGGTCTCGAGGCTGACTTGTTTTCCTGACTCTCCCTAACCTTCCATCCCCTGCACATTAGCTGACTGAAGCTGGGGAGAGCAGAGGCTTTGGAGTTCGGTGTCAGACAGTCGCAGCTGACATTAGGAAACTTATAGGGCCATGTGTACCCACAGAGTTAGTAAGACAAAAACTACCGTGTATATATGGCTGTCAAGGATCTACTGTTTGTTGGTGTGTGAGGAACTGTGTCCAGGGAGTGAGGAAAAGGTTAACTAAAACATCTTGTCCAAGAGCTTCCTCAGAGCATGAGCATAAGGTGTTTGTTGTCTCTCACCCATGTTCTCTTCAGGTACTCTTCCAATGGATTTCCTGTGGGCTTAGTCTTAGATGTGCTGGATGCTTCAAACACAGAGCCTATCAGAGCAGCTGAGAGCTCTACTCTGAGTGTAAAAAACATAGCAAGAAACGTGAATGCCTCCGGGCCTCCTACCTCACACTGCCTGACTGTAAAGCAGTATAGTCCGATTTAGTTCCCCAGTCTCACCTCTGGTTTGCACTCTGCTGTTTGAAATCTGCAATCTCCTTTTCTTTATTGCTATTGTTTGTATGTGGATACAGTAACTTGTGTTATGGGAGTTTATCTGCATCTGTAATTATAGGTGGCTTTGGAAGAGAGATTTGTACATCCCTTTGCACAGATAAGGTACACAAGAAGCACCCCTTTTGCCTTGGGATGCTACATGTAGTGCTTGTTGAACTGTTATGCTTATCAGTGAGTAGTCCTGATTCATTGTCATCAGTTTAGTGGATTATGACTTGGAAGCAGAAGTGGGGAGAAACTTTGTCTGTTTTCTGTGCTTTAACAACCAGTGTCGTCCTGAGATAGATGCTGCTTACCACATGAACTCTAGGTGTAGTAGCTGTTGGCTAAATTTTAGTCATGGGTGTCTTTAACTTCCCTTCTTCTGCATACCCTGTTATTACTATAACTTGTAAATTTCATCAAGCTTAAGGAAAACAGTGTGGAATTATGTTGGCAGGAATTTGGAAACTTTATTGCCACAAGTTTCTGCTTTGTAGGATGGAGTTGTACCTCTAGTTAGCCAGATCACTGAGAGTATGTATATATTTTTAACATGGAATCATGTTAAGTGTGCTAAGACTGCTGGACTTGGGTCCAACTAAGGTTGATTTAGCATGTGTATGACTCAGGAATATTATAAACTTTGATTTTATGGTTTTCTGTCCTCACATTATATCTCCATCTGCTTTAGTGACCCTGTAACACAACAGATTCCTATTTCATTTGAAAAATTTCTTAACAATGAAAAAGAATTACTTCTGAACTTTGAAGGCCATTCTGGTTTAGTACTGTGATGGCTTCCCTGGGACCTTTAAAGGTTTTTTCCCCATCAACTGCATAATCTGCTTGAGATCCAACTCATTTCTTCCACAAAGGCAGGATCTTTTATCTCTTCGCTGGGAAGCTCTTCTTCCCAGCTGAACTTCATATTAATCAAACTTGGTGTACTCTGCTTGGCACAATGTTCAGTAATCCCGGCAGCAATTCACAGTGTTGCAGCCGTGCAGTGTATCTGCACAGGGCAGAACACTGTCATCTCATCGTTATTAGGGTGACATTTCCCTTTTGGAAAAGTATGTTCATCACATCATCCTAATAGCAGTGTATCTTGTGGCTCAGCAAATTCGGCTGTGGCAAAGAAGCCACAAAGAGTAATTGGGAAGTCTTCAAGTTAAAAGTCCTGACACCACAGACATAGTTCACTTGCTACATATTCTAAACAGGAATATTTGTGTTCCTCTGGAGAGGGTGTTCGAGTTCCAGGTCCCTGTTAGATGGTGTCCATGTTTCTATGAAGTTGTATACAAGTTTGCTGGTGAAATTAGTGTAAAAGACCCTGATATGATTTTTTTCTTTTCTAAGCACAAAGAGTTTCAGTTTGGTTTAGGTAATCTGGTACTTTATTCTAGTGAAGAATAGTGTTTTCTTTTGATAACAGTTTGTTCTGTCTCAGTATAGCTTCATACAATTAATTTATGTTTGCTCCATGGATTCATCAGTGCTGCATCTAACATTAGGGATGTTGGAGCTTAGCTGCCTCCACAGGAAACTGTTTGCCTGAAGCCTTTGTAAAGAAATGGGAAGAACTGCTTTGACAGGGTTTGAAGTTCTTAGTTTTGGAGAGCAAATCCTGGGGAAGAAGAATGAGACGTGGCCTCCGCCAGGTGAGCTGCCAGAATTCAGGAAGGAACACTGGTCCATTGTCTGGAGCATGCTGGGCTGGTTGGATACTGATTTGTGCTGGTCTTGGAGAAGGGAGAAATGGGCTGAGTGTCATCCACGTTCAGGAAAGGGGGAGTGCTGACTCGGTATGGGGCATTTCATGGCTGCCTGCTGGAGAAGCAGCAGCTTGTGTTCCTTCTTTCCCCTCCAACTCTGTGCCGCCATCTGCCGTTGCCACTACGGTTTATTGTGATGGTGGGCAGGAAAGGGAAGAGGAAAGAAATGATACTGAGCAAGTATGTCTGGCCTGGGGAGAAGAGGTATGTATTTTACCCTGAGAGGTGTTGGGGAGTGCAGGGAAAAAGCTTGAGAATGGTACTGAACTAAAATATGTAGCAAAAGGGAAGATCCTTTCCATTTGATCAGAGTATCACCTTTTTTTTTTTTTTTTTTTTTTTTTTTTCCAGACTGGCAGAACCCCCAAATTTTGCTGTTTTGTGCTGTTAGACCTGAAATATTTATCAGCACTGAATCCATGCCTGGCTTTTTGTGCTAAAGCTAAGCTGCTAGGTTCCTATAGTTCTCTTATTCTTCCCCAGACAGTAAGACTAGTTTGATTAAAAAAAAAAAAAAAATTATTCTATCTTTAAATTTGTTCTGGCTTAGCCCTCTTCTGAACACCTCCAAGTATTATCATAAAAGCATGTTTTAGCAACCAGAGCAAGTAGGGTAAATCCAATACTTTGGGTGTGTTTTACGTGGGACTTTTTTGCGTTCAACTAACACTGGGCGTTTTTATTTTTCTTTTTCTTGAAGCCCCATTCCACTTCTGGAGAAGATAGCTTTTATTTTATTGTTCATGTAGGATGTGTAGAGAATTTAAGAAATGCACTTGGGATTATGGAGAGTTGAATAATACCTTCAGAAACTCCCAGAATGGATTTCCTGCTTTTAAAATTCTGCTGTTTAGGTACTGTGTTAAATATGTAACACTTAGGCGATTTCTCTCCTCCACTTTTAAGAACAGATATGCAGGTTAGTGGACAAACATTTGGAATTCACTGCAACTCTTTTCAAGATGGTTCTTCTTTGCAAGACATGATGTCTGCTTTGAAATTTCAGTGGTGTCTTTCTTATTAAAGGAGAATTCCTAGTAAGAGATTCTATTCTGTCTGCAATAGTAAAACTTCTTATTAGACACAGAGAATCAGATCTCCCTGTATAGTCTGTTTAGGATCATTTATGGTAAAGCACTGGCTTCTTTGGAATAAATAACAGTCTTTGCACATGCATTGGTGAAAACAAATAAGGTAAGAAAACTCTTATAAATACTTCTCTATATACTGTAAGATGATAGATGTATACACATATAGGGGATACATGGTTTTGCAGGATTAGAGCCTAAAAAAGAAAACAAGTTTTATTGAAAACCTGAAAATGAAGGGAAAAGTTTATTCTAGCAAAATAAAATTCCATTATTCAGCGCAAACTTTTTTTTTTTTTTTTTTTTTTTTTGCAGAGGCAGCGGGATTGTGACTTGCACTTACACAGTCAGCAACTGGAAAAATGCCAGGTTCTAAAAGTAGCTTGGTGTCTTCATATAAGGATGTTAAAAATGATACGTCAGACTTGAATGAAGTTAAAATTTTGGATGAAAAAGGATCTGTTGCAAAAAGAACAGTGACTCTGATTGAGAAGGATGGCTATCCCGACTCCGTATACATGAATGCAGCTAAGATTTTTCAAGGCATTCATACTGAAAAGAGTAAGGATAGAATGCTGGTGCAGTACGGCAATAACTCAGAATCTCCCGTGCTGGCTTTTAAAGATGAGCATTCCAGGCGTGTATCTTATGAACTGGCTTTCAGTGCTCTAAAATGTAAGTACAAAACTTTTCCAAGCATTGCCAACAGAAATGATGCAGCAGGGAAAACATGGGAAAGCAATATGTTCAGTGTCTGCCTGACAGCAGAGATCTGAGGAATTCTTTGGTAAACTGCAGGTTATTACTAGACTACTCATATCCCTCAAATAGTTAAATATAGCTAAGTGTTATTAGCATTTTGTGAAATCAGACATTTAAACCCTATACTTTTTCATGTAAAGGAATTATATAGAGTTGTTACTCTTTGTGATTGAATTTGCCCTTAATTTTCATGACATTTAAACTCACAGTTTAGTGATTTATAAGGTTTTCTTTTTCTTCCTCGAATTTTGTAGATTTCATAGCCTAACTTGTTAGTATTTTCTTTTTTTTGCAGATCAAGATCTTCTTGAAGAAATATTGTTAGATAGTGGTGTTTACCCATGCCAGTCAATAGTAAGTGAACATTGTTGTGAGGAAATAAGTTCTGTATTTTCTGCACTGATGTAATTAGAATCTTTCCTGAGGATTCTGCAACATTCTTCAAAACAATCTTTGTCATTTTGAACTGTATGACAGGCTCAGACTGAAATATTGCTGACTATTTTAGATAGTTGTCCAAAGCATCCCTCTCCAAAGTACTAGATATGTTGTTTGTGAGATTCTGTTGTACTTTACAACCCTTTGAAGGGAATCAAAACCTTCAAAGAAAGAAGATGGAAGAGTGAGCCATAATCTTTTTCTGCAGTGCTTGTCAGATTGTCCATGTGCTTTCCTTTCCATCTGTGTCCCCTTGTGAGCAGGGAAAAAAAATCATGTATCCTTCCTGTCCTTGGGAGTTAGAAAGCGTGGAGTGAACCCCATCAGACAAAGAAATGCTTTGAAACCACATTTAATTTCCTGGGCAAACTGTACTGTATACAATATTGTACTGGCAAAAATTGTTCCAGGTTACTCTCTGAACATACTTTCCTGCTTTGACATGAAAAGAAATTCTAGGCTTTACAGAGTAATTTGCTGTTCCTTCAATGGAAGGTCTTTGATGCCTTTGAAAGCTGCAAAATGAACTTGAACTGATAGTATTTGTGGAGATTGATGTGAGCAGGCAAATGATTTAGCACCTTTGTCTTGTTTTTGTAAGGAAGTAAGACTTACATGCTAACATTCCATGTTTGGTGGTATTTCCCTAATAACTCTAGTTTTCTAAATAATTTTGGTCATATTTGTGAGAAGGTGAGCATCTTAAAAGGCATAATAACTGTAGGAATTTCATGGAAAGAGGTAGACAGTAGTAACAGACGTGCTGTTAATTATTGTCTATAGGCAGATGATACTCCCTGGTGTTAAAATTTAGACATGGGAAGGAGATTTTACATAATTCCCAACACCAGAATGGTTATTACAGTTGAGCTTGTGGGGTACCACATACAGATGAATCCTACAAGAAATGAAATGTAGACAAGAAGTTTTTGTTAGCTTTGCTATTCAATTCCTTAATGAGGAGAACACAATTTCAATTTTTCAATTCTGATAACATTAGAAGTTGTTAAGATGTAGTGTTTTATCTGTGTATGGAGAGTGTTTTTAATTTTGGTAAGCTAAATAACTTACAAGATGTGTATTTTGAGTATTTAGAAAAAACAATCTTCAATGTTTTATTAGCTCTCCGTACAGAATTACTTTTTTATTCTTACAAATAAGCACTTCACTGGAGTTTTTAATGCCTCTTATATGGTAGACTGCTGTTTGATATGGAACTTTTTGCAGAAGTAAGGCACACTTTGTGTCACTTTGGCTATCCAGCTGCTTTTCTGTTGCAGCCAGATGAGTTAACCAGCTTGCTTGTTGTGATGCTTTATGACCTACAAGACCGAAAGTTTGAAGCACGAAAGATTTTTGACCAAGAGGAACCTGTAGAAGAAGTTCGGGAAATAGGGCATTATTTATACAGGTATATGTGCAAAGAGCTTTTTTTGTAGATATATATTAGCAAAAATGCAGATTTGTATAACCTGTACCTTTTAAAAATAATTATTAAGCATGTCTTCTATTTTCAAATTTTGTGGACTTTATTTTTAATGAGAACCTAGTTTGAAGGGAAACTTTCATATATATATATATATATATACACACACACACACATATATATATAGTTAAGAAAAATAAACCTACAAACCATCCTTATATTATGGATTATTTTACTAGCATCTTATCTTATTTTTGGCGTTGTTGAAACTTTTTTCATACAATTTTAGGAGAGAAATTAAATATTCAGTAAATGTTCATAAATATGTGTGTAACAGAATCAAGAGGTCATGGAGTAGAATAACATCCATCTATTTAGCAGTACTTCTATTATGGAACTTTATTTTACATACCCTTTTTTTTGTTCTAATTTTTAAAAATAATAAATATTTAACAAACATTTTAATATTTATTATTTCTTTCATCAGTCAGTTGAGGAACTCTAAAGGCATTTATTAGACAAAATTGTGCTGTTGCTAGATTTAGAGTAGCCCAAAAACTTAATGAATATCTTAAGTGCAAGGTATTTTTGGAGGGCAGTGAGTAATATATCTCAAGCAGTTCACCAACAATTTTTATTTGCTTTGAATTATCATGTATCAAGAGCTTGTGGGGATAAAAGACTGGGAATATTTTCTCGGACTCCTGGTTGCCATCATACCTGTATTGGTGTTGTTTCTGTACAATGGGTCAGCTTTCATCAAATGCTCATTCTGCACATATATGTATGTACATTTTCAAACATTCAAATGAATATCATTGTTGTATTCCACAGATGGAAGTTCCAAAATATATTGGATTGGGGTTTTCTAAGCTGTTTGAGAAAGTGAATGCATTTGAGAGTCATCTGTCATAACTCCACTCCCAGCTGCATTTAAATAAAATAATCTTAGCTATGGACTTGCCTCTACCTTTGTCTGGGATAGGAAATGTTCTTATTAAACTTGTGACTGTCTTTTTGTAGTTGTAAGACCAAATTGGCAGCTGCACTGGCACGATGTCGCATTAAATACGATGCTCTTTCAATTGAACACTTTGTACCAGAAACCATATGGAAGCAGGAACAAAGGGTTTCTGCTTTACCTTTCTGTGTTTGGATAAACACATTTAAAATCAGGTAAGGACTTTAAAGTATCATCTGATATTGATGTTTTTACATATGGAGTGATGTAGTTTGCTCCATGTTCTCTTTAGAATTCCCAGGTTGTATTTTTACCAGTAATTTAAAATTCTTACAGGAAATTCTGATTAGTCTAGCTCCATTGTATTATGTTTGCTTGTAGTTTTTATGTATTGCAGTAATGGTATTCATACCCTGTAACAAGGTTGTGAAACAGTTCTTCTTACTATTTTGTTGCTTGTGTGGGTCTTTAACCAAATAAATAAGGAAATAAAGTTAAAAAAAAAAATGGATATATGAACTTGATGACAAAAGATAGACAAAACACCTTTAAAAGTGGGTGTATTAGTGTAAGCCATAATCTTGGCAAAGGGTGTTGAGATACAATACTTAAACTGGTGTTTATTCTGTAAGGTTGTTGTAAGCTTGAAATAAAAATACACTTTAAAAAATTCTTATATTCTGTAGACTACTTTATATAGTCTGTACCTCACTATAACTGGTGTTCCCAGTTTGTACTAACAGATACATGAACCATACCAGATTATCCTGTTATCTGTTTTGTTAGGCAGGTAATTCATTTTATAATGTTTTCAAGAATTTTGTTTTCCTACTCTGGTCTTGGACCAGTGTTTGGTGCTTAGAAGATAATGTGTCTTACTCTGGTTGTGACTTTGCAAGCCTTAAATAAGACTGAACTAAAAGCTGCTGCATTCATCCCACATTTAATGTACCACATAAGGCTGTGGCACGGTCTGAAATGGCATTTCAACAAACAAATGTTGCTACATATACCTTTAACTCTTTATGATATTTGAATTGCTAACCTCAGCAGTTATGCCTTCGTTCCATTTACACAAGGATTCTTTCAGTTATCAACCATTAAAATCATTGGTGACTTGGGCTAAATTGAAAGCAATTGAAAGAGCTAAAGCATTTCAGCAGTAAATTTACTACAGTGTCTCCTGAGCACATGGACATTTCTGTTTTGATGCTTAGAATCATCCTCTGGAGACACATACATCTTTTTTAATTTATTTTGTCAAACTTATTAACTTAACTGTTTCAAACCAGAACTTATATGCCTAAAATATAGTAACCCCTCCTGCAGGCAGTATGGCATTGTATACCTATGTATGTATGCATATGCATGCACACACTAATAGTATAAAATTCATATAATCAATGTAAACTGTGTTGCTTAAGTAACTCTTGTATATTTAATGGTCAGAGTTGTATGTTAACAGCCTTGAAGATGTTATCAGCAATTTGGAGATGAAGGGACTCAAAAAGGTTGAATCTGTGTCAGACTTTAACCATTATACATATGCCATGGACCAACATTGCCATGATGTATTGGTTTTTCCTTCCTCTCTTAAAGAAGAATTGCTTAATTTAGATCTTTTTGCAGATTGCAAACTCCTACTGCAGGTGAGTTGATGTCACCCTTGAGTCAGATGATCTGCAGACTAAAGTAATTGCTTTGCATTTGAATGAGGTTGTGTATTGAGTGACTATCCTATTAAATCAGTCAGGCAGCAACATACTCTCATAAGGTTTTGGTTATTTTTAGTAATTAGAAGGTTACAAACTCATTCACTTAATAAATTTAGCATGCAAATGTCAATGCTTATAATTGATAGGTACAATAAAGTTAGTAGAATGTTTTAAATTTATTCTTAAAACTGTTGACATTAAATATAAAACGTGATCAGAGAGGCAGTCTCCCTTCTAAAAAATGTGAAGAAAGTTTTGATGTATCTCCAAATGCTTTCCCGCAGTTAGTAGATATTGGCATGCCACTGTAGTATATTGTGAACTTAATGTGGGTACATAAACAATGATGTGAACTTAAAGGTTTAGCACTTTTTTCCCCCTCCTTCCGTTTATCATCAGTGTTTGTCAGATTTGGTGCAAGACCTTGTATCTGTGGTCAGTATCTTTACTCCTTGCCTTTTTAAGCAGTTTGATGGAGATGATGTTTTCTCTTAATCACCAGTGGTATGAGACCATTTACTCCTTTTGAGTGGTCCCTGTGGAATGTCCCAGCATTCCAGTCTGGCTTTGTGTTGTTCAGATTTCAACAAAATTTTGATCTTTGATCTGTAAGGGCTTCATTTCTCCTGTAATGATTGTCAAGAGCTATGTGAATAATTTTGCATTTCTGTCTTAAACTGCCTCTGAGAATAAATTCTGCCTGTTCTGAATTGTGGCCTATGTTCTTTTCTGGCTGTTGCTAGGAGTTCTTCATCCCTCATGGGGATGATATGCATTCTCTCTTTTCACCTATGGATATTATACTTTTTAAATGTATTATTTAGAATTAAGTTATTTAAATTTATTGAGTATTTGGTTTTATACTTTATTTAATTCTGGATTAGCAGCTGTCTCTGGTTAGTTTTTTCCTCCCTTTCCCATTTCCTATGAAAACAGTTAAATACTTTGCTTATTTGGAAAAGAAGGTTGGCATTCATAGAAACAAAAATAACTGGTTGTACTTAATTTTTTGTCACTGTTTTCCAGGATAAGTCTCGCAGCCTTGCTGTACACTCTGCACAGGCACTGTTGAATCCAGGTGATGACATTATAGTGGCTCACACAGGTTCCCATCTGACCATTGCCCATATGTCAGTGCTGACAAATCATGGCATGTCCACAATTTTTGTTTGTGGTGTGAAATCTTCAGCAAAAGAAGAAGAACTGAGGAATATTTTCAGTCACATGGGATGTGAAAGTAGGTGCTGAAACTGTTGGTATACAAAAAGTGTTGTAATACAGATGTTTGTGACATCTGTAAATACAGCATAATTCTATGAGAATTCAGAGATGCCCTATTAAAGACTTGTCGAGGGCAGTAACAACTTTTTTGCATTGTCACAAGGTGAACTGGCAGCTTATACTTTGGAGGATCTGGGTCTAGCAGGCTCTAGCTCTACTGAAATCTGTGTAACAGCAGAGTCTCTCTCTTCACTTGTATCACCTGTAGGTAGGCTTGTTTGCATTGTATAACTGTTGAGTTCTTCCTTTATTTTGCAGATATTCAGTTGTTACATGAAGACTTTACTGAGCTTGAACCAACAGACCGAAGACTTCAAAAGGCGACAGTTATTTTGCTGATACCACAATGCTCTGGACTGGGTGTTGGCAATCCAATGGAGTTTATTTTAAGTGAACACAGAGGTAACTTTTGATGCAGAAAAGCTCATGCTTTCTGGTAGAAATGAATACATTCAAGTATTGTGGCCTAGACATTATAGGTACTTCAGTAAATTGTATAATTTTATTAAAATCCCCTTTTTTAATTACTATGAAACATATATTAACTTGCATAATTCTCTGCTTCAAGTTGCTAGTACGAAGTTTGAGGGTTATTTTGGGGAGCAGAATGTATATATTTCTTTTTAAAGTAAAAAGACTATGGGCAGAAAATTTATTTCAGTATACCAATATGTATATAATTTTCCATTTGCTTACATTCCTTTATTGACTGTTTGTATAAGTCTGTTCACTGTGCAATTTTCATTAAATAGAAGCAAATAAGAGATACCAGTAATTATAAGTAAAGAAGGAAAGCGAATAAATTAGGCACTCCATTGGTATTCTAATGCGTAAAACCTTCCTTCTAACTGCACTAATAACAACCACGTCTGTTTCTGCAAACAACTGAATTTTAAGACACTAAGTTGCAATACTAAATTTACAGCTCTCTGCTTTTAGATGCAGGATTGCTACAAGACCTTTTCCAGGGATTTGTGTCTGAGGATAAACTCAGTATTCTTGCTGAAAGGCAGCTTAACGAGTTGATTCATGCTCTGAAATGTAAGTGAGCTAGTTCTCCAGTTTCTGGGAGGACCTTGTACTATCAATTCCTAAAAATACATGGATTACTCTATTAATTAACAATAAGCATTAACAATAACCTAAACCCCTGAATAATGTTCGGCTCCAGTCTGAAGGTATTTCTGTGTCCTAGTGTTCAGCAGACATTAACAAATAGTCTTCAGCATTGTGTAGAGAACTGGCTTATGGCTTAGTCATACTCTGATTTGGAAATGCTGCAAGTGCAGTCAGACTCCATCTGCATGCTGCCACTTTCTTCCCCTCTCCTTTTGTAGCTGTGTGAAAAGATGGATACAGCTTTGAATTTGTGCTGTGATCTGCAAATATTTAACATTTTAATTATTAAAAACCAGTAGAGATTGCATACTAATGTGTGCGGGAGGATATTTTTATTGGTAAAAGTGACATCCAGGCATAACTTTTGTGATGCTTTCAGTCCTTACCAAACCACTGTCTGTATGAAGAACCTGAACGGTAGAAAATTTGTTTTGTTTTGTAGTTAACAAAGTACAAGCTATTGTTTACTGCACTTGTTCAGTTTACCCTCAAGAAAATGAACTAGTAGTGAAAAAAGCACTGGAATCTGGAGTGGAAGGAGATAAAGTACAACCATATAGGTATGGAATGAGTAGTTTTATCTATGGAAAAATTCAAGTATAACTTTAAATTGTAGCATAATTCTTGTCTCCTAGACTGATATGTGTCTTGCATTAAATTACTATTTACAATAGTTTTTGCTGCCTGTCATGCCATTCTTTCTGATGTTCATGAGAGTACTTAGCAGTATTCTATTGACTTTTTCATCTAATAGTTTTGTTCATCTGAAATTGAGATGGGAGGAAACCATCACTGGTTGGAAATAACAAAAAGCCATTGCTTTTTTTTTATCAGTATTCAGAGAATGAAGCTAGTTTAAGATAAAATGGAGACTAGAAGTCAAGGAACTTGCTAGTAGGCTCTCAACTTCTGACCTAGAATGATCAGTTTCGAAGGAAAAAGAAATTAAATCTTAAATTGTGAGAATAATATAGAAGAATAAGAACACTAGCTGTAGGATTGCTCGTCCCTGTATTCAGATGAATGACTTGCGGGGAGGATGGGTTACATTAAGAGATCATCCTGTGCAATCATAACAAGTATATATGAAAAAAGTACGTGTTATGTATACTTTATAGTATGTAGTTATATGTAGTTAAAACCTGTCAGCTGTCACCCCTGTCAGACAAAGAAATTGTTACAAAGCTGGTGAGTACTTTCTGGTTTTTCTTTTCCGTCACAGTAGATAAATGCAAACAGTTGGCACTCGCACATAGATACAATAGATGATTACGAGATGCAGGTTAAGAGAGTGTATGTTGCCAAAATCACAGAAGAGTAACACTATATTTTTAGATTTTATATTACCTTAGATGATGTTAATAAGCTGGCTATCGCAGGGAGAGGTACTGTGGCTCAAGATATCATTCAGTGTAATTAAATTTTGCATGATTAAAATGGTAAATGTTAACTGTGGCCAGTCCAAAGAATTTTGAAAAGTTGTATGTTGTTCGTAAGGTTAAGACAAAGTGCAACAAAATGCATTTTTCTTGCAGTGCACTGATAAAAAATAGCCTGGTTGAATTTTTACATTAAGTGGGATGAAATCAGGGCTTGTCTTGCCAGTGGTGCTATGCTAGTCCAAAAGCATCTATGGCTCTTTGCTGTAAACTGTGTTTTCCTTTGGAATTTGAAATTTTGTAGAGTCTGTCACGTCTTGATCTCCATACACCTGTTATGCTATGGGGAGAGCCCAGGGAACCTTGGAATGAAATGGTCTCCAAATTAGTTGAATACAAATAATACATAAATTCATAACACATGTAACAGAATTTGTATTAAAAGAAAAGTTCTCAGAGCTTTAATTATTTTAGAAAAAATTCCCCCTTGTGTAAAACACCTCCCCTCCCCCTGAAGCCAAACCAAAATCTATTCAGTGTTTTGCACAAGGATCATGAAACTTGTTAAACTACCAAATTATACTTTTACTTTCAAAGTAAGGCAATCTCAGATGGTCAGAAAGGGACAATAAAATTAAATTAGGATTTTGGCAGACCTGAGCAAGTTTGTGACTGAAGACTGATTGAGCTCCATAAATAACAATTTCAGAATCAGTTTCTCCTGCACTGTCACACAGTATCTTGGGTGTTTTCATGCACAGTTCTCTCTACAGTAAAGCTGCTGGTAACCAGTGTGAAGAGAGCAGTAATAGAACACCAGAAATAAAATATATAGTGTGATTATGCTTAAGATGTCTTATATGGTTCAAGCCATTTAAGATGCCTGTATTACTTACAACAATTCCTTTTACGCTTTCCTTAGAATTAATTAGAGAACCGACTTGAAACAATGCAGTGTAAAACAATGCAGTATAGAATGAAAAAACTGCTGCAGAATTACTACCCCCAGTGTTTACAGTAGTGTCTTTGAGAGGCAAGTTACACTAATAAAACATCCTATATGATCATCACAAGCCTATTTACTATTATTTTCCTTTTCCAATAAAATCAAGGGCTTTCAGGAAACTCTTACACCAGTTGTACTTATGTGCATTATACCTTTTGGAATTACTCTGCAGTACTGGAGTAGTGCTGAACAAAATAAGGCTCTACTGGAGTTTGGGGTCATATGGCTGGTCTTAGGGCTGTGCAGTTGTAAGAGTGATTTTAAACATGTACCCACTGGCTAAGCTGAGCTTACCTTAAGGATGTGACAGTTTCATAGCAAAGGCTTCACCTTAAGTAAGGGTACACTTTGTGAACAGGTGTGTTTAGAGAGGAATCTAAACCACTCATGCATTTCTCTTTGGTGTATCAAATTGAGTTAATTTCTGCATCATTTTTCAGGGTCAGACCATCCATTGAAGGGATTCCTGGTAACAGTAATTTGTATACATCAATAAAAATTATCCCTTCTTTTTTTTTATATTGAGTGAGCTGATGTAAAATGAAAAATTTCCTGTGTCACAGGACACATGATGCGAGGAGGATGTGAGCCTTGTAGTCTGTTCTATCGAGTTCCAAAGCGTGTGGAAAAAAATTCAGATTATGGTGGAAACTTGGAAACAAATAGTTTTGCAGACTTCCCATTAGAAATGAACTAGCCAGCCAAATCAGGATATTGCTTACAAATATTAAATGTATTTCTCTGTAACCATCTTTGAATAAAGCTCTGTCTCAAGAGGATTAACGGAGCACTGAGGAGGGGCTCTATCTTATAGTCCTCAGTGATGGGAAGAGGAAGGGACTTATAATTGCAAAAGGACATTTTGAGAGTGTTTTTTTCTGTACTTAGGCCTCTTAGTACTAGTTTAGCAGCCTTATGAGCCAAGTCCCTGAGGCCTCTTTATAACAGCTAGGTGTTCCTGGAATATAAGGAAAATATGAAAAAAGGCTGGTTCTTCCTTCCCCACTAATGCACTGCAAAACTGTAAAGCTGGAAAAACATCACTCAATTATTAAAAATATTTTTAGGTTAGCAAATTTTGCTAACTTAAGGTTTTTAGCTTAGATATATTACTTATTATGAGCATATACTATTAACTCAAAGTCAATATCTCTGCAATTTCTGAGCTGCTTAGTGTTTTCAGGTCATTCCCCAACTTCATGGACAACTTGATAACCCAGTAATTTCAGACCTGAGAAAGGACAAACTTTTTGTTATATTAATACATATTTATTATCTGGTGGTTAATATACTTATAACTGGAAAAATTGGGAATTATTGAAAAAATGGGAAAACCCCATTGTTTCTGAACAGGTGAATTCTTATGCCTTTCTTGAATTGCAGTTGTTTAAAATTAAGATAAAGTTATGTCACTGAAAGGCATATTTGGAACTTACTTTTAGTGCATCCTTGTTTATTTCCTTTTATATCTTTAAATATTATTTTCTAGTATTTTCTTTATTTTTTACAGGCTTATTCCTCCTGTTTTTTCTACTTGCTCCGATTCAGAGACTTCCACTGAAATTTTCTTCAAAATGGAGCCATCAGAAATTTCCAGTGGTTGTTTTGTAGCCGTTCTAGAACGAGAGGTAAGCTAAGGAAGTTACCATTTAAAATCACTTCACAGAAGATGACTACTGCAATTTTCCACAAAAGAATAAATGAAATTGAACATTTGAAATAAAATTCCTGGATGCTCTGTAGTTGTCTTAAGACCAAAGGATAGGGAGCAGTTGAAATGTGCCACTTCTGGAATTTTGTGCTGAGCCCAGTTTTCCAGCATGTGCCTGTTGTACTGGAGCTGTTCATGGTCAGAGCAGGCCCATGATCCAAGTCAGTGCCAGCAACACCAACAGGATATGTATTGTTCTCACACCTTGGAATGAAACACATAGGTTGATTGGACTCATGATAAATGGTGTCTAGTAAAGTTATTTGTTATTTGTGTCACCGGGATTCAGATGAAGTCTTAAACCGTATGGGTGACACTATTATAATTTGAGTGAAATAGGTATGAATATGTTTCCTTCCCAAACTAAGGCATATGCAAATCTGGCTTGAAAGACAGGAGGCTTTTGCTGAGTAAGCAGAAAAATGTTGTCACAATTCCTGAGGAAAGGCCTTAAAGGGCTAGTTTGCATCTCTGAGTGCCAACATTTTCCTCTTGTGTCTGAGAGAAGCAAGAATTTTTTAACCAAACGAGGAAGGGGTGGGGGGTGGCAGCAGCTAAGTAGAATTTTATTGCAAATTTATGACAGAAGATCTCATTTGATCATTTGTGTTATTTTCTGTCATACTGTGATCACAGTGCTTGAAAGAACCTTGTCTCGTAGGGAAAATTAGGAGAGAAGATTTTATTAAGAGTAAGAGAATCACACATGAAAAGCCTTGAATTTACCTATTATTGATCTTCTTCTTTTCAATATAAAATATTTTCAACTTGGCTCCCTGAGTTTTAGTTAATCATGCTGTGTACATCTGTTTACCACATGTCTCCCTCCAGAGAAACAAGTACTTTTGTTTCAGGTAAAAAAATTTGAATAATTTTTGTCAAATTCTAATGCATAGAAGCAATTGCTCCTATGGCCAATTTTTAGGTGATTTGGGAAATGAACATTCTCCATGAGGCACAAAACATGTACTTAAAACTTAAACTGAAATTTCTGGTTTACAGAAACCCTCTTCTTAGCAAGTTCTAAGCAGTTTCTTCCCTATTTTTCCTCTTTATATGCTTGGATGCTGAGCTGGTTCCTAGTTAATCAAGTCTGATAATTCCTTACTTATGTATTATGAGGGAAGATTTTCATTATAGTGAAAATTATTTTCGCTATATTTTCCTATAGTGAAAATTTGTATTTTCATATAGCAAAAGTTTTTAATGTTTAATGTTACTGATAACGTTTCTGTATTTTAGTTACTATTTCTGATACACAGGCACACACATATGTTATGTACGTGCATGTTATTACAGACACATTACACAGCAGGTCCGTGTGGGAGTGTGCTGGTTTTGGCTGGGGCAGGGTTAATTTTCTTCCCAGTGGCTGATGTGGGGCTGTGCTTTGCATTTGTGCTGAACACAGGGTTGATAGTACAGAGATGCTTCTGTTACTGCTGAGCAGGGCTAACACAGAGCCAAGGCCTTCTTTGCTTTTTGTACTGCCACGCTGGTGAGGAGGCTGGGGGTGCCCGGGAAACTGGGAGGAGACACAGCCGGGACAGGTGACCCAGACTGACCAAAGGCACATCCCGTACCATGTGACATCACGACCAACATATAAGGCGGGGGGAAGAAGGAGGAAGTGGGGATATTTGGAGTGATGGCACTTGTCTTCCCAAGTAACTCGTCTTATGAACCCAGGAGTTTTCTGGCTTTTACCCTTCTGATTGTCTCCCTACCCTGCTGGTGGGGGAATGCGTTACCTTGGTTGCTGGTTGGGGTTAAACCACAAGTCAGACATGCAGTACAGAGGCTGGAACTGAGCTTAACCTCTTTGGGCTGGTGGAGAACAAAGTTTCTGAGGAGGAAATGCTCTGATACTCTGTACACAACAGTCACGTTCTTTATTTCATGAATAAATAGTTTGGTTAGCATTTATCACATGTGACTTAAGTCCTTCTGCTAGACTCTGCCACAGTTTTCTCATGGAATAAATTCTAAGCAGCTCTGTGTTGTGACTTAGATTCATTGTTGTTTCCTTTGAAATTTGCAGAAAGATTCTTCTAAAAAAGTGCCTGCTAAAGACATTTTGGCTTATGCTGCAGAAAAAGGACTACTAGATAGCATTTCTGAAGGAAAACCAAAAGAAGAGAAAAAGCAGAAAGTAAAACGACGTAAACGTACTGACAGAAAGCCAAAGGCTGCAGAGCCCCTTCACCATCAAACTGGAGCTCATGTTAAGGCCGAAGTTCCTGTGTCTAAAGCAGTCAGTGACACACAACAAAAGCATGTGTGCAGAACAAAAGCAGTCAGTAAAACACAACAAAAGCATGTGCCCCAAACAAAAGCAGTCAGTGACATACAAGAAAAGCATGTGTGCAGAACAAAAGCAGTCAGTAAAGCACAACAAAAGCATGTGCCCCGAAAAAAAACAGTCAGTGACATACAACAGAATGTGTTCAGAGCAAAAGCAGTCAGTAACACAAAAAAGCACATGCCCAGAACAAAAGCAGGCAGTACAGCATCGGTGCCTAAAGGAGTCCCTAACATACCTGTGTCCAAAGCAGTCAGTAACACACGACAGAAGAACGTGCACCAAACAAACAGCCACGATCAGCTGAAGAAATCTGCCGACCCTGACTCACACACAGCTGTGCCCAAAGTGCCAAAGCGCACATCTCATCTGTCCCCTCCGGGCAAGGTGTCTGAGAGACAGACACCTGCTCGAAGGGCAAGACATAAAGGGGTTGTATTGAAGCCTGAGAAAATCACTTCGCCTCCAGAGCGATAACACCATAGGGAAGTTTGTAAGGAAGCAAACTCAGGGTATCAAATCAACCATCACTTTCATAGCCAGACTGGAGCACAGGGTCGAAGTGGTTGAATATTTCCACCACCCCTGTCTAAAATGGTCAAGGCAACTGTGCTTAGACATCTTTGACCATGGCTGTACAAACCTTCAAACTTGGCTCTTCCTTTATACAGAAGGTAAAGATTCCTGTATATTAATCAATACTCTTTGATTACAGCATATCTTTATGCAGGATAATCTTGCTGTGGAAAAGAGAGATGTTATGGGCTATTAGTGTAGAAATATCCAGGTTAGATAGTAATTTTTAGTCCACTACATTTTAAAGTGAATGGAGCTTAGCTGCCTAAGGCTGATCCACTGTTGTGAGGAGCGAGGTCAAAAAACTCTAATCTCTTGCTATATACTTTAAATTGACAAGTTAAATTGTATATCTGAACCCGCCATCATGGCCTAGATCTGTAAGAGTAATCAATTTCAAATGGACATTTTTTTAAAAAGTGAGACTGCGTTTTTTAAGTGGCTACTTTTCTTTACAAGTGCTAGATACCATTTTTGCAAGTTTCCACTTTGATGCATGGAAAATAAGCTTTGCACAGTAAGCCTGCTACTTCACCTTTGTTTCTAAAACTAGATGTGAACTTTTGTACAGGAAACTGGCCAAGTATACTAAAGCCCATGTACAGGCTTTCTAGTACTTACTCCCTTGGTTTCTACTCAGGTGTACTTCGAAATATTAACAATGAAAAATAGATAAAATATTCTCATGTTAAAAATGCTGCATTATCATCATAATGTCACGTCAGACTATGTCATGGCTCATAATTGCTTCTGACCAATTTCTTAACACAAGCAGTTCTTAGTTAAAGAGAGCTGCTACTGTCAAAACAACTTATTTTTATAAATGTTACTGCTAGTCAGCTGAATAATGACTGAACACAGAGTAGTTTGCCTGTCTTTGGAAATAGTCACAGGCTTCTAAGCTGCTCCCTCTTCCCAGCAAAGATAATAACTGGAAAATATCTACAGTTGTTTTATAATCTGAGCAGAGCATAAAGGGAGACACAAAGATACTTTTAACAATAATCTGATTTGTATTTAGAAGTGTTCTAAGAATTAAATAGACAGCATAGCAATATAGGAAGGCAAAGGCAGCTGTAGCCCAGGAGAGAAATTTTCCTCTAGGCAACCACTTAAGATACTTGGCAAGAGTGTTGCCATGAGCAGCAACAAAATGTAGTATGGAATCTTAATTGATTTGACATGTGGGTCTGGATTTAGATGGATCCAGAGAAAATGTTTTAACATCTCTATTTTTTCTCCACCCACACCAGTCAGAGCCGCTGGATCAGCAGTACCTTTATAAGAAAGGATGCAAAAGATACTACACCAGCAGCAAAACCAACTGGCTTGTGTCCATTGGATATTGTTGCTTCATTGAATCACTGAAAATTTCTTGTAGCATTTTAATCTGAGCCAGCTTTCCTAAGCAAAGACATCTCACACCTCCTGCGTATCCCTGTGAGCAATCCATGGTCCTTACCCATTCCATTTACATGGTGAATTTTGCTCTTGTTTTTGAGAAAACCTGTAAGGATAGATTTAGACCTGTGCACATGCAATGTTGTAGAACTGGAAAAAAAGAAATTCTTATGTCAAAACCATCTAGGAGGAGGAGAGATTCTACATGTTGGATAGTAGGAATGGACACTAAGAAGATTTTTTTTTTCTTCCAGTATGGTTGTTAAATGCTTAAAATAAACTTAGACATTCTGTGGTTAGAAATGATTTTTTTTTTTAAATTTTTTATCATTCATTATTAAAGTTAAAATTACTTGTAAAAGAACATACATGTATGTGTCTGATGACAGAATTTCTGGGCCTCTTATGTAATATATGTCATGATGTCCCACAATCAGCCTCACCTTGCTTTCAGGAATTTGCATTTTTTAAATGGTATAGAAATTAAACCAGTTAGAATCTTGATGTCTCAGAGAGTGAATATTTTGACTCTGCAGGTCAGCAGCTTTGTAAGCACTGAGTTCACTTGGTGGAAACATCTGGGACTGGGTCCAGGTGGCTCGTAGATGCTTGTACATTAAGTTAGCACTCAGTGACTTTTTACAGTAAAACTGTATCTTATGTAACTGTTTTTCTGTAATCCAGTTGTTCATTTGTAATTTGCAGCTAGAAACTGTTGATTCAACTTTCCAGATGCAAAAGTCTCCATTGCACTGCTATTGCCTCTAAACCCACCACTATGTTTTTCCCTTCCCTCAAGCACCATTTGGAACAAAAAATAATTTCCCAGTTTCACGGAGCAGTAACAGTTGAGACAATCACTTTATGCAGCTAAATTTATTCTCAGAACAGATTACATTTAAATGTGGAGAAGTGGCCAACAGCAGGGAAAATTGTCCTTTTCTGTGTCAGTCAGGTGCTTTATGTAAGACTGGGCTCCGCTAATAAACAGTGGATGTGTTTCCTTCTTTCTTACCGCTGTTAAACAAACCTGCTTTGGCTGACTGTACACACAAGCTGTAGCAATGCTTTAATTAACCTGCCCAGGAAAGGAGTAATGTGGTCGATGGTAATGCTGAAATGCTGAGGCCATACTCGCTGTTGAAATGAGAAAGTTCTCTTTTCCATGGGTGATACACTAACAGGTTTAGATCTCTAGGTAAATGATCTATGAAATGCTTGATACATTTAGAAAGAAAGAGATGTAGAACTCTCAGTGACACAGAACTGATTAAGCTATTAGATACTCCTTAGTTTTTGCTCCTTTGTCTCATAAGGGCATATTACTTCTGTAGGTACACGTGACTCTGCACAGGAAGTGTATCACTAAAACCTCATTTTACTGTGAATGGATCCTATGCCCTTCCAAGCAATTTTTGTTATTCCCATTTAACCACCCTGTAGGTGGCCTCTGTAGCCTTACATCTCTCACAGCTCCCCTTGCTCCCCTTTAAATGAAACAGTTAAGTGGCTTAAATAAAACCTTCAGCCAGCACTGCAGATTTCAAAAGAAAGGCTTTTATGTCTTAGTCATTGACTGTGAAAATAAATTTCCTTGCTTCTGCAAGGGAGTGTGTTAATGACATGACTGACTGACACGTGATACTTACCTCTAACTTAGTACTTGCATTGAAAAAAAATTAAGAAATTACCTTTGCTTTACATGATTTTTCTACAGATTTCAATAAAAATGTGACTACAAATAATTACAAAGCCCGCCTTTTTTAGGCAACCTATAGTATACAGAGTGGAGAATGTTACAAGAGCACATCCGGTAAAGACAATACATCAACATAATAATGCAGGATATTTCAGTAAAAATAGAATAAATAAAATAAAAATATTTTAAGCTGTATTTAACAGGTTAAGTTAGAATATGGCATCAGACATACAAGGCATAGTGAACATGGCTGCCAGTCTACAGAATCACTAGGTATTATAAAAAATGCATAGATAACTGAAGGGTCGCTATAACATCAACTAGAACAGTGGCAGTTGCTCAAACACACACACCCCATACATACTTTTTTGGCCATGGTAAAAAGAGTGTCTGAATATATTATTTAACAAAAGATAATGGGCTTTGCAATATTAGGCTCTGACTCTGCAAACACCTCGGTGTATATTAAATCTTTTTGAGAATAAGGAGCTCTACTGAAGCAAAAAGGCCACATATAGTCAGACCATTAAGCACACTACTTAAATACTTGCAAAATCAACAACATTTTGTTAACAGACACAAACCTCCTAAAACAAACACTGGTAAGCGAAGTACAGCTTTTCAAATACCCTTCCATCTTCTCAGCCCTTCCTGCAATTGCACACATTGCTACTGAAAGCTAACCAGATGTTCATAGCCTTGACAACACTGGTGCAGAACCTTCACATTGCTGTTCACTGAGTTGGTTTAGTTAGAGTCCAGATCTCTTCTGGGGAGAATCAGCACTGTGCAGGTGCAATGATGAAATTTAATTATACAGCTCAAAATTATTTCACTGTTGTACAACAGCTGCAAATCCCAAATCACGCTGTTCCCAGCTGGAACTTTAAAAAGACACTGTCAAAGTAATTTAAAATAAAATTTGAATCACCGGCACAATGCCAAAAGAGGAAACTTTTATCTCTTAACTTCACAAACATACCTAAAGGTACAGTGTCAGCCACCACATTTTGAGGGCAGTCATCCCTGGAAGTGTTCAAGGTCAGGATGGATGGGGCTCAGCAACCCAGTCTAGTGGAAGGTGTCTTTGCCCATGGCAGGAGGTTGGAACCAGATGATCTTTAAGGTCTCTTCCAACCCAACCAGTTCTGTGGTTCTCTGATAGGAAGTGAGTTTCTACACTGCCCCTGGTAGAGGTGACTGGGATCAGTATTAGAAACTACAGAAGCAGGTGTGCAAGCTTGGTTAAACCACTGGTACTGCTTAGGGGGAAGGGGGTTGTTTGCATCCCCTCACCTCCAGCTCTCCCTGCACACTCAGCACAAGCAGCTTCTCTTCCAGCTGTTCAAGCAATAGAGCTGGAGCAAAGGAAATGGCAAGAATGTGAGCCTTGAGAGGGGAAACAATTGCTTCAGTGCCTGAGGGACAGAATCTTGGTCATGAAGAGATCTCAGATGAGTGGAGGAGCAGCTCTTCAGAGGGTATTCTAGAGAGCTAAATGTAATCACCATAGTTGCATAGCTAGCCTTCACCTGACATTTGCTCACACATCATGCTGAGTTTAGTTTAATGATTTTTCTGCATTTTTCAACGCAGAAATTTCTGGAATCGTCATTCTTTCCTGTTGTGTTCCTAAGTTACTTAGGTGTTGTCACTAATTTCTTTAAACAAGGAAATAAAAAAGAAAATAGTTTGTTTGTAACAGTCTCTTGCATAGTAAAATAAAAAAGGAGTTATTGTAGGAATAACATTGCCAGTGTTCCTTTATCTTTGCAGTATGACCAGATTTGCAGACTTGGGAGACAGTTACAGTTCGGAACTTATCTATAAATGGAGTAAAACATTTTTAACACTAGTTAAAAATACCTTTAATGTTCCATGTCCGAAGTGCGTACCAATCTGCAGGTGAGGACAGAAGATGGCAAAGGGAAAGATGGAAGATGCATGACTACATTTCAAAATTAGCCTGAGGTACAATTTTGAGGGCAATGCTGTGCTGATTTGTGACGGTCTGCAGGTGTGTCAATCAAAGCAATCAGATGAAGCCTTTGGAGCAAAAGCATTGAAATCATGTTGTATCACCTGAAGCACTACCCTGTTAGAAAACAACTCTCTTCTAATTTTGTTACAAGAGCATTAAAAGTAAAATAAATTTCATGGAATTTTGTACATAACAAGAAACATAACTGTTCTTTTTCCTGGCATGCCAAGTATTCAGCAGCAAACTCTAGGGGAAAGGGGAATTGTGCAACCAGACAAGGAATTGAACATTTCATCAAACACTTGTATGGAAAAGGTATGGAATAGTTTAGCTTCTAGAACAGTTTTAAGACAATAAAATCACTATTTCTTACTTAGTCCTGATTGTTTTGAGCCCTGCATGAAACAAATGGTATTTCTGATGAATAAATGACAGATTTAGGAGAATAAATTTAACAGCCAACAGTTTCATTTGTATGTTTAAAGCTGAAAAGCTTCAGTGGATCACCCTGCAACTCAATTACTAAAAACATTTCTGGATTTTTCCTCATTGATTTGGTTTTAAACATGATTCTTCTCTAAGACCATAACGTGTAACCAAAAGATGAAATAATTACACCATGATTCCAAAGCATGTCAAGGAGACGTTAAAGTGGTTGCGAGACCAATGCAGACAAACAATTTAAAACTAACAGGTGTAGTTCTGTAAAAAACAAAACTTGTTATTTAATCTACAGTAATTCAATAGTAGCTAATACTTGGTACCCATTCCAGTGTTGAAAACACAGCCAAGTGCTGCAGGATTTAAGATTGGTTTGTGACAAATCCAGCTCAATAAGGTGAAATTTTAACTCATCATTCACTCCACAGACTTTAGCGTGAGTTCACTGGGAAGGACATGGCCATATTCTTTTTTTTTTTTTTTTTGTGAGTTTAGGTAATGTTCATGTATTTACAATCAAACAAACCTTCCATTGCCCATGATGTAACTCACTGACAGCAAAAAAATTATTCATGCTTCTTTTCATATCAGACGATGGTGGCAAGAACGAGAGAACATGCTTGTCTAACATTGTTTTGATAAGGGTAAATTCTCTGAAGACAAAGCATCAGCAACTGAAATGGAAGGCCAGATATCGTCAGTTCATTTTCCTTAGTGTGGCTACTGTTATCTTCAGTTATGTGTTAGGAGAATCTTCTCTCTTGCGCAGCTATGGCATCTCAGGGACTGGACGTTTCTGTTTCAAAGTGTCAATGAGAGACAACACTCCTCTTTTTACGTTAGTTGTAACTCTTCTAGTCACCGAGTCTGCAGGAGGTGGGGGTGGTCGAACTTTCTGTGAAGGAGGTCTGGCTACTAAGCACTTCTGATACCGTAACTGCAACAAAGCAAAACCATTCTGCAATCAACACTCTATTCAATAATTTCACAGAGCATTTCAAATACACTCTTAGTACTTTCTCATTAAATATTGCCAAACCTCTGTTTTGGCTGTGACAGAAAGCTTAGCTGAAGTTAACGGGACATTGGTCTGTCCATGTGTGGGCAGAAACTGTTCATTAGCACACAATAGATACTGCATCACATAAACAGCCATTTGAAAACTGAAAAATAAGTTTTCTGGGTTCAGCTACTCTGGAACAAAGATTATTTTCACTATATTGCCAGTGGATTGTATAACAATTGTGTAGTAAAAGAAAAGATTTCTAACTTACACAGACATTGAAGAGGTTGGGTGGGAAGATGATTAAGGGGCATTGTTCACTAAACTGGCATTTCAAACTTTAAACGTTTGGACTTTAATTGATTAAATATATCATAACACCAATTCCTATTTTTATCTGTTTTTTTCTTTTTCTGCCTTGAAATTAATATAATTGCAAATTTGGAAAGATGATTATTTGTGGAGGCAGTGAAAAATCGAAGTGCTACTGGATGCCTTTGAAGAAGGCCACTTACCATACAAGCAGCCTGAACAGCTTCTGATACG